GGGCATTAAAAACTCAAGCGATAAAGGCAAAGCAGGCCACACAGCGTCACACAGTGATGACTGTGATTAGTTCTTGAATATGAATTTAAGAAAATTAACAAAAGAGAGGACAGACTACAAAAAGACTATGAAAAGAAGCAGAGCTTAAGCACAGGCAGCCATTCACACAGGCAGGAGAAAAGAACAAATACACAGAGGGAGAGAGAGAGAGACAAGAGGTGAGGCTAAATCTCCTGGAGGACCAAGAGTTAGATCCAAACACGGGGAACGAGGTACTGACAGTCGGCAGAGAGAGAGAGAGAGAGACAGACACAGAGGGAGAGGTCCCAGAATGGCCAATGGTCCAGCACAGAAAAGCCTGACTGCAAAATACAAGGAGGGGAAACCAGGGAGTTGGAGAGAGGCACACAGCTGCCCTTACGAGACACAGTAGAGAAATGCAGTGGTTTTCAAAAAGTTGACAGTATTGTGGTCGGCAGGACAAATATTGATTATAGTACTGGGCTTGATAGATTCATTGAGACCAACCTCCCAAACGCATAATGGTAACCTGTAGGATCTGAAGTAATCAGAAAACAAAGTGAAAGTTAGGGCAACAATCTGAGTTTTAAATTTGGATTTAAGGGCCCCACTAGAGTCAGACTGACACCAGCGGGAAGGTTATTCCAGAGGAAGGGGACACAATAGGAAAAGGCCCTGGAGTTATTACCCTTAAATGGTGTTGGTAGTGACCCTTTTACCATTGCATGTTTTTAATTCTGCAGTTATTTTGTCATGGTTTCCTGCCTCTGAACTATAATTGTGTCTGAGTGGGAAGATGAGAGGTTGGGTGCCAAAGTTCCCAGCTGGACCTGTATAGAAACCAACAGGAGCCTACTGTCAGCATATATCAGGAGCTCTCCAATCAAGTGTGATGCTGGGGTTTGGCCCACTTTTTGTTTTCTGTACATCACATATCAGTTGTTGAGTTGTTTTTCAAGGTTTTTTTTGGATAAACACTTGTCACAAGTATTAGCTGGATTTGTTATTTACAATTTCTGTCAGAAAGAGATTCTTTTTGATGTGAACAGGCTGTGGGTAAATAGCCAGTTTCTCCTATGCAGATCACCCTATGTTAAGGCCCAAAACAAGGCTGAATGAATTAACTGTCCATTGAAGAGCACACTTTCCCTTCCATAAAGAAACCTCCAGGTTGAAATTTCAAAAACTTTCTCGCACACCATAAAGTCGTTGTGACAGATGTGTAAGATCAAAACTTCTTTCACTCAGTAAGAATAGTCTATATGAACTTGGCCTGATGAAGGTCTGAGGACTGGTATGTCATCAATAAAGTGAGTGCAGGTGATGGATGTTATGTTTTCCTTCCATAAAGAATGAGAAAATTAGGCTCTTAAACTTCAGATATGACGACTACGAAATGTTGCATAAATTTAACATAACACCAGTTTATGATATTGGTGTATTTAGTTACTGATTTAAAATGACAGGAGTCATGTCCTGGACTGACCTGGGAGTGACCTCCGCACACTGTGAGGGAAGAAAAAAAGGCAGTGATCTTGATTATGTATTCACTATTATTTACTAGTATGTCAGAAAATGTTGATCTCTGTTTCCCAAGGTATTGATCTGAAATGTTTACCATGTGACTTAAAAAGAGCTTAAAATCTTGAGTTGACACCACTATTTAAACTCACTTGAAGAGCACATTTCCAGAGCTATGGAAGCTATGTCTTTTTTGCCATTGTTGGTTGTATAGTTGGGTTATATATAGAGGGGAGCTGCTACTTAGGACGGGTTGTAGAAGCAGGGGAGCCTTTTTTCAGGCGCAGCAACACTGGAAATAGGACAGAGTGAAGTGATGCGGTGTGGCTAATTCCATGGGCGCCGACTATACTGCACAGTTAACTGAAATAGGTTAAAATGTGTGACAATTAAGCATTATAGTGTAGTACCTTAGTTCTGCAGAGGTGCCCTGGTCTACAATTCTTGTTTTTCAGGTGTAAGAAACATGTTTTTACAGAATAATCTTGATTTAAATAGTTTAGAATGATCATTCCCAATAATCATGAATCATACCGAAATCACAATTTTTTTTTTAATACCATATGGTGGAGCCCTAGAGCCAGTACGCGTCTAGCCACCATTAGCATGGGGATTATACCTAGAAAATAATAGAGGCCAGCAGCTGGACTGCCGTTCCCGTTCGGTGCTTTAGCCTTAATGGTGCACTCGCTGATAGTACGTAGTCATAATGTAAGAATGTAATTTTACAATATTATTAAGATGGTATGACACAATTTTATCATGTTAAGATTCCTGTATTTTTATGAGTGGTATGATATGGCATAACCCAATGACGTAAGCCAGTGGTCCCCAACCTGGGGGTTGGGACCCCCACTAGGGGTGGCCAAAGCTTCATGAGGACTCGCAAGGCCGCCTTGATTTTAAGGAGAAAACATACCTCAGTATTTGGTCCAAGTAACGTAAAGTTAACTTGTCTAATAGAACAATGGCCAAGCATCAGAGACAAGAAAACACTGAATTTGTCAAAAAAGTCTGAATGATTTTTAAAAATGTTATTTTTTTTTTTAAATGCAGACACATAATTGTATAAAAAGTTCCCTAAACAGGAAATGTTCAGTTAAAAATTAATCCAAATCACTCGTTTTACACAAACCTCTTGCAGTTACTGAGTTCACTGTTTGGGTTCATTGTACAGTTTTGAATAAAATATGAAATATCCATAAAATATGTCACACAGTGAGGGGATGTTATTGTGCTAAATGATAGAAAAGGGGTCCCCAAAGGAAAAACCACTGTCACTGGGAACCACTGTCATAAGCTGGTGACTGCACACCACTCTGTGACAATGTTCAAGTGTGTTTCTGCAGTCCAGTTAGACCAACATAGTGAAGAATCTTGATCCAGTCACGTCAGTTTAAGGAGCCAGTTTGTCTCATCTAAAACAATTAACACGCACAGCATGTGAATATTCTTAGGTGACAAGTTCTGACTCAGGACCAGCTAAGGTTTTCAGAGTCAGAAGGCTGCAGCTGTTAATGAACATTTCATATCATCTGCTGCTTATGTTAGAAGTTGTCATAGTTACAGCCTGTCAACATTAATTAGGTGATCACTAAAAACTGCACTTGTGTCAAAATGTAATTGAAGATCTACATGGAACCCTCAAGCTTTAGTCATTCAAAACTTAAGTTACTTGCAAATGCTGACAGCTAAAAGTAATTACATTTATCAAGGAATCGAAAGAACTCTGATTTTTTGAGCAGATTCTAGGCTTATTTAAACCTTAAAAGTCAGTATGTTTGCCAGTGTTACAGAGCTAATTCACTCCGCTGTCAGAGTTTTCGTCCTGTGTAGCTGTGAGCTCACATTCATTCCAATGTTTGGAGAGATTATGTGCATGTGTGACAGCCACGTCTGCCATAATTCAGTCCGTACACCCCAGCTGTGAAGTGCACAGTAATAGTTTTATTCCATCTGGAATGAAATTAGCTCACAGTGATTTCCCTGCGTTAATCTTCCAACTAACCTCTATCTGAGCAGCAGGGCAGCATGGAGGCTGAGCTGCTGCACCTAGTTACAGGCGAGGATGATTAGTAAGGAATTTGTATGCACGGCGGGGACTGATGGCTTTCCATCAAGGCCACGAGACAGAGCTGATCATCATATACGCAACTCTGTGTGTCCGACCAAGTTTCCACTCATCAGCTTTTCTACACATTTTCAATTTTAGACAAAACATCTGAATAGGAACTAGGGGACCTCCAACGAGGACAAACCTAGGATAACAGCTCCTGTAAAGGCAAAGTGAATGATCATAGAGCAGCTTGGAAAATAAGGTGAACAATTTTACTTGTGTTTGACATATCTGTGTTATTGTCCATTAAACATCATCTGTCATCTGCCTGTTTGATGAAGTATGATTTGAGATGAAGATGGAGTTTGCTCAGTTGTCAGTTAACTGCAGATTTTCCTTGAGTTAAGTAATATGTGTGTGTGATAGCAATACACGTGTGGTGTATGATGTTATGTTTAGTTTTATTGTAAATGTACAATATTGTTTGAATAACTGTAGGGTTGGGTAAAACAATGAAGCATTTTAAGATCAGCATTGGTCGATGAGTGTGTTCTCGAGGCCTGCTGTGATGTGCATTGTTTTTTTGAAATACTCATCATATACAGTCTCTGGAATTGGGGTGGCAGTAACTCAGTCTGTAGGGACTTGGCTTGGGAACCAGGGGGTCGCTGGTTCAAGTCCAGCACGAACCACAGTATGGAGTGTAAACTGTTAGCTGGAGAGGTGCCAGTTCCACTTCCAAGTGCCCTTTAACCCCTAACCCCTAACTGCTCCCAGAGCGCCGCTACGTGGCAGCCCATCACTCCATCTGTAAGCCCTGTGTGTGTTTGTGATTGTGTTTTGGGCTTATATGTGTAAAACACTGAGTGAAAAAACAACTTCCCCATTATGGATTAATAAAGTTAATCTTCTTCTGAATCGAACACTTTCAAGAGAAGAAGAGTGTTGTTTTATTCTGAGAAGTTTCCAAGTA